GAAAGTATAAATAGGCTGCGCACTAAACTTAAACAGTAGTGAAAAGGGCGCGCTCCCCTCCTTTGGAGCAGGCCGCCTCAAGAGGTGTTCGGGAAGGCAGGGAGAGGGGACCTGCTGCATTCGGCTTCTGGCCATCCTCGAGCCCCTGTCCGACCGCCACGACGAGAGCCCCACCCCTTCGGGATTCTGGGAGCGAGCGCGCTGGCCAAGGGCGGCCGGCAGAGGGAGCAGGAGGGGAGAGGGGGGAGGGAGGGGGAGAAGCAAGCTAGGTGCGCTCGCGTCATATCTGACGTCCTACCCCTCCCTCCCATCCCTTACCATGGCGTAGAGATCTCCTCTCTATTCGCAATCGGATGTCGTAGCATGGCATAGCACTACGTAGCATGACATAGCATGGCGTGGCGACGCCCCAAGGTGGGCTTCAGCGGCCCCCAAAAATCAACGAATCGACACCGAATGTGTAATCACTTCCGATGGTTTCTTTTCTGGAGGCCATTTTCTAAATTTTGGGGCCTGGTTGGAAGGGCCGAAATCCACGCCGTGGCATGGCACACGAAATAATGACGCCAACGCTGCAGCGGCAGCGCGATTCGGAACGAGCGGAAGCGTGGATATGAAGCCAACGCTGCAGCGGAAGCACGATTCGGAACGAGCGGGAGCCTGCAAATGTAGCCAGCGCTTCAGCGAGAGCAGCATTTTGGAAATAACAAAAACAGCAACAAACAAAAACAAGCGAAGACCCACCTCCCGGGAATCCACCATAAAAAACAATACGCGGAGGGGGGCCGGACATTCTCCGGACGCCATCAGGGAGAGAGGGAGGGAAGGGGGAAGGGGGGGGGGGGGAAGGAGGGGGGGAGGGGGAGGGAGGGGGAAGGGGGAGAGGGAGGGGAGGCGGGGAGAGAGTAGGAGGGGAGGGGGGGAGGGAAGGAGGGCGGGGGGGAGGGGAGGGGGGGGAGGGCAGGGGGGTTTTATCCAGGCGCGGCTGAAAGCGTGCAAGCGGGGCTGGCGACGCAGACAGACTCAGGCGAGAGCCTGACGAGTAAAGCCTCGGGCACATCCCTCAAAGGAGTGCCGCACGAGGAAGGGACAGGAGGCTAGCCCAACTCAGCGCAGTCGTCCTCGACCACGACCAGGCCCCCGCAGGTGGCGTATGTTCGCCGAACGGGCGAGGCCTCAGCTGTCCCTGCGCAGACGACAGCAGCGGCTGCCCAGTACGAGGGTGCAGGCCCTCCCAGAGACGGTCTAAACGAGTGCGCGTCTTGGGGGGCACTCCGCCGAGGCAAGGGAACGCCAGGAGTTGCGCATCCTCGCTGGAATGCGCACCACAGCGGGCGCAGAAGACGAACTGGCCCACGTGCCAGACGCGGTGGCCCCCCCCAGGGGCGCACACGGCTGGGATGAAGGCGTCCCGTTGCCGAGCGACGCGGGAACACCTGGCGCACCTGAAGCCCGTGGTGGACGGCACGGGCAAGTGGGTATCGGGGGTTCCGTGTCCGCCGTGAGGGCTGGCGTCGGCCCCCGTCGCTTGGCCCGCCGCAGCTGTCCGTGGCGCGGCGCCTGCTGCGACTTGGGGCCGGCAGCCTGCATTGTCCTGGCTAGGAACTTGGCCACGAAGGTGACCAGCTTAAAGGAGCGCTGCACGCGCTGGCTGGCCTCGGCATCCGTGGGATGGAGGGAGGCGCCCACGCGGGCGCCAGCATCAGCGTGGCGGTTCCCCCACCTCGCGACAGCACACAGCTCCTGCTCGTCATCGTGATGGCGGCGGGCGTGGCCTTGCACCTTCCGCACTTCCACCTCGCCCCAAGGTCGTCCACCCGAGCCCATATCTGAGACCACACGTCAGCGCCCTCGCACATGGCGCCCGTGGTCTCGAAACGGCCACGCTGGAAGCTCGAGACCACCCGATCGCAGTCCGAATGGTAGCGAAAGGGGTCCAGCCCAGCGCGCGTGAGATACAGGAGCAGGCCATATATTGGATCCTGTCCCGCGCCGAGCTGTCGAGCGGATTCGCGCCATCGGGCGGGTGCCAGTCCCCGCCTGCGTCTGGGCGCGCACTCGCGGGCGGCCAAGAGGGGGGTGTCCAAGAGGGGGGGGTGCAAATCATGGCCGGCGGCACGTGCGCGGCCCAAGGGGGGGGGGGGGGCCAGGGACGTAATGAAATAAGAAGAGGCGCCATGAAATCTGTGGAAAAATCGTGGCCCGCGCCATGGTCTCCACACCCCCCTAGTCATCACCCCCCTCTTTGCCGCCCCCGACGCACCTCGGAGCGCTCGGGCACCACCCGGGCGGCAGAGGCCCCCGGGCGCCCGCCGCCCGCCTCCAGGGGCGAGGCGCGGCAGCTCGCCTCCCGGGGCGCCGTGCGCCCCGCGATGACCGCCTTGGCCCCGCGCGGCGCGCGCCCCCCCCTTGGGAGGGCGCGGGCGTGTAGTTCTTCCCGCGGGCGCCCGCAGCAGGGGGCCTTGAGCCAAAATGGCTACGGAGGGGCCAGGGCAGGGGGGGAGGGATGGAGATGGAGGGAGGGGGGGGGAGGGGGAAAGGGGGGGGGGGGAAGAGAAGGGGATAGGGGGGAGGGAGAGAAGGCCAGGCCCCTCCTGGGCCCTGGAAGGCGCACACGACGATCCTCAGACCAGAATGGGCCTGTTCAAGGTCGGCGCAGGCGTACAGATGGCGCCTTCGAGCGGGGGAGGGGATCTCTGGTTGACCCAAATGGGGGTCCACCTGAAAGGGGGGGTGCCATAGATTTGGGGCAATTGTGTTGCAAATGCACTGCGCCGGAGAATTCGATTGCGTCGTATTGCACCTGATGTCTGGCATACGAAAATCAAACAACACATTTGCGCAACGGAATGCGTTGCACACCCCAGCTCCATTGCAACCCCACACATGTGTTGCACCAAATAACAATCGGGTCTCGGCCAGAAGAGCAAATCCGCCGACCCTGTCGGCGTGTGTGAGGGGCTTTTCCGTTCGAGCCGTCATCTCCGTCATTCTTTGTACTCGTCGTCTCTGTCCTTCCCTTTCCCTGGGAGACCTCTTCCCCTGGGCTCCAGCCAAGCCGACCTTGAGCAACCTCGTAATTGAGTCGAAGGGAAGCCCCTTCCCTTTGATCCCTCCCCTGGGCAGATACGACACCCCCCTGGGCTCCAGCCAAGCCGACCTTGAGCAACCTCGTAATTGAGTCGAAGGGAAGCCCCTTCCCTTTGATCCCTCCCCCGCCGGGAGGGGGGGGGGGGTGTCGACCCCCCCCCCGGGTCAGATACGACGCCCCCCCCGGGGACTCCTCTTCCCCTGGGCTCCAGCCAAGCCGACCTTGAGCAACCTCGTGAGTCGAAGGGAAGCCCCTTCCCTTTGATCCCTCCCCCGCCGGGAGGGGGGGGGGGGTGTCGACCCCCCCCCCGGGTCGGATACGACGCCCCCCTGGGACTCCTCTTCCCCTGGGCTCCAGCCAAGCCGACCTTGAGCAACCTCGTAATTGAGTCGAAGGGAAGCCCCTTCCCTTTGATCCCTCCCCCGCCGGGAGGGGGGGGGGGGTCGACCCCCCCCGGGTCAGATACGACGCCCCCCCCTGGGACTCCTCTTCCCCTGGGCTCCAGCCAAGCCGACCTTGAGCAACCTCGTAATTGAGTCGAAGGGAAGCCCCTTCCCTTTGATCCCTCCCCCGCCGGGAGGGGGGGGGGGGTGTCGACCCCCCCCCCGGGTCAGATACGACGCCCCCCCCTGGGACTCCTCTTCCCCTGGGCTCCAGCCAAGCCGACCTTGAGCAACCCCTGGGCTCCAGCCAAGCCGACCTTGAGCAACCTCGTAATTGAGTCGAAGGGAAGCCCCTTCCCTTTGATCCCTCCCCCGCCGGGCGACCCCCCCCCCGGGTCAGATACGACGCCCCCCCCTGGGACTCCTCTTCCCCTGGGCTCCAGCCAAGCCGACCTTGAGCAACCTCGTAATTGAGTCGAAGGGAAGCCCCTTCCCTTTGATCCCTCCCCCGCCGGGAGGGGGGGGGGGGGTCGACCCCCCCCCCGGGTCAGATACGACGCCCCCCCCTGGGACTCCTCTTCCCCTGGGCTCCAGCCAAGCCGACCTTGAGCAACCTCGTAATTGAGTCGAAGGGAAGCCCCTTCCCTTTGATCCCTCCCCCGCCGGGAGGGGGGGGGGGTGTCGACCCCCCCCCCGGGTCAGTACGACGCCCCCCCTGGACTCCTCTTCCCCTGGGTCCAGCCAAGCCGACCTTGAGCAACCTGTAATTGAGTCGAAGGGAAGCCCCTTCCCTTTGATCCCTCCCCCGCCGGGAGGGGGGGGGGGTGTCGACCCCCCCCCGGGTCAGATACGACGCCCCCCCCTGGGACTCCTCTTCCCCTGGGCTCCAGCCAAGCCGACCTTGAGCAACCTCGTAATTGAGTCGAAGGGAAGCCCCTTCCCTTTGATCCCTCCCCCGCCGGGAGGGGGGGGGGGGGTAGCGACCCCCCCCCCGGGTCAGATACGACGCCCTCCCCTGGGACTCCTCTTCCCCTGGGCTCCAGCCAAGCCGACCTTGAGCAACCTCGAAATCTCTTGCTGCGCATTGCGAACAGGGTCGGCGGCACCGGCCGTCAGGCCTTCGCAATAACAATCGGGTCTCGGCCAGAAGAGCAGCCCTCAAGAACACGAGACCCTTCCGCCGGCCAACGCGCACAGGACATCCAAGGGCACCTCCCCAGGACGCACAGGGACATCCAACTAACACGGAGAACATCAGGTTGTCCTCCCCGAGCCGACCTTGATGTCTTATACCCTTGTCCGACTGTATCGCACCACCCCCCTCTTTGCGGACTTACTGTCTTGATGTCTTGATGTCTTATACCCCTTGATGTCTTGATGTCTTGATGTCTTGATGTCTTGATCTCCGACTGTATCGCACCTTGATGTCTTATACCCCTTGTCCGACTGTATCGGACCCTCTCTTCGGGCCAACCAAAGGCTTGGGGCCACGAACAGAGGCCGACCCTGGCGAAGGCCTGGGGCCATCAGTCGTGCGCGGCCGAGAAGGCCTTCTGCGCGGCGGCCTCGTTGACCCCGGCGAAGTCCGTGTCCTCCGGAGGTACAGGTGGAGGCGAGTTCACAGGAAACCTTCCAGAAGAAACCCAACCCTGAGACCCCAGGAAGTCCATCGATTGTTGCTGTAGGGATGCCGCGCTCTCCATCGCAAAACCATCGGGTGTTTCTTGGCAGGGGTCTCCACTGTATGTAGCAGCTGCCGTCGTCGTCGTCGTCGTCGACGATCGGAGATCGAATGTCGACGTTTCTGGACGTCCCGGGGCATTGGGGGGCGCCTTGCTCAATATCCCACCCGATCCGCCTCGCCCGCCTCAAATACGGAGGCCGCCAGGCCCCAATAGTCCCAGATGGTACCCGGGGATCCCGCCACTCCTGACAGCCTGGCACTTGCAACTTACCGCGGCCGCCATGCCCCCAGGCGATCCCGTCTCGCCGAACCACACGAAGCGTCACGCCGTCATGCCGTCTAGGCGTCATTCAATCCACAAACATCTGGAACAGACCTCACGGGCAGATATGAAGACCAGACACCAACACATGCAGTCGTAGCGCAAACCACAATCACCTGCATCATTGGCATGTACCAATCCGCCGGCCCCCTGCTCCCTTGCGGGGCCATCAGGCGGCGAAGGTTAGGCTTGCAGCTCCCTGTGCCAATTGCAGCTTCCAGTTTCCACTGTTAGTCCCGCCTTCTGCTTCCTTACTGGTAACTGTTGTGGAACGCGCGAAGGGGTGGGAGCCGAAACGCGTCCTGGCTAGCGTCCCCGAGTCGCGTTTTCTGAATTCCCGTGGGGTCGTGGGACACGTAAGAATCTTTGAGATTCGCGTCCCCGATGCAATGGCCCTTCGTAGATTACGCCGTATTCGCGTCCCCGAGGCCATACACCGTCGTCCATCGTAAATTACACAATATTCGCGCCCCCGACGCCATAAGCCCTCGTAGATTACGCTGTAGTCGTGAATTCATTGTGATTTTTTTTAGATTCTGACCCCTGAGGGGCTCCTGAGCTGATTTAGCTGGAAGCCAGAAAATCTCAAAAATCAGAAAAAATCCAAATGAAATCATAAGGTTTCTGGGATTCTCACCCCAGAAATCCCGAACATCCCAATGAAATGACAGGGCTTGGGGCCCCCAGGCGTCGCAAACATTGTGGTGTCACAGGGATCGCTGCTCCCTCGAGTCTCCCCCCCTCTCTCTCTCTCTCTTTCGCTGTCCCCCTCAATATTTGTCTCCCCCCTGATCCTCCTCCTCCTCCTCCTCCTCCTCCTCCTCCTCCTCCTCCTCCTCCTCCTCCTCCTCCTGTGTGAGAGAAATCCATAATAAACCATAGGGTGTGGGGGCACTGGCGTGTCTGGGTGAAGGTCCCTGCAAGCCTTGGTCTTCCTGTGAGGAAGATGGCGCCCCTTCAAGCGTTGGTATCCCCTGCGCGGAGGCGACGAAAAAAAAGGCGCCCGCAGCCCCCATGCGGAGAAGTGGCAAGCGAGAGAGAAAGAGAGGACGGCAAGGAGGACGGAGGACAACGGGACAGAAAACAAAAAGGGGAGCGGAGGAAGGGATGCGAAACAACAACGTGGAAAGAAAAATACGAATCGTGGGCTACGGAAGCGGGAGGATGAGAGAGCGTGTGTGGGGGGGAGAGAGAGAGAGAGAGAGAGAGAGAGAAAAAAAGAGAGAGAGAGAGAGCGAGAGCGAGAGAGAGAGGGGGAGAGAGAGGGAGAGAGAGAGAGAGAGAAAGAGAGAGAGACACGAGGCGCAAAGGGATGCCATGGGGGCGGGGGGGGGGGAGGGAGAAGGGGGGAGGAAGGAAGGGGGGAAGGAAAAGATGATGGGGATGGGGTGGGGAGATGGACGACGATATTGAAAATAAGCATTCACAGGAAGAGTGGGAGCGAACTGTGCACACGCCGAGGCCCGAGGGGAAATCAGCGGGTGCTGTGGGTGCTGTGGGTGCCCCCCCCAGGCTTCGCAAACATTGTGATTTCACAGGGATCGCTGCTCCCTCGAGTTTCCCCCTTTCGCTCTCGCTCTCTCTCCCTCTCTCTCTCTCTCTCTCTCTCTCTCCCTCCATCCTCCTCATCCTCCTTCTATAAGCAGAGACAAAGTGTGTGAGAGGGGGAGAGAGAGAGAGAGAGAGCGAACCGTTCAACGACCGATGCGCAATGAATAGGTGCTGGGGGGGGGGGCTGCGCACATATATATATATATATATATATATGTATAGGTTGCAAACAACGGGAAGTAACGCCCCGGGCGCCGCCGAGGTCCCTGGGCGGGACCCCCTGGGCCGCGTCGGCTCGTTTCGAGTGCCTCGAAGACGTTCTTTTTGGACGCCGCGGCGCCAAATCGTGAGGTTGGTCGACCCGCGCGCATGCGCATCCACAGACGTCGCACGCGGAGCGCACCACCCTCTGGCGGGAGGCTCGCGCATCGTTGCCTGGCCCTCTGGCCAAGGGACTGGTGGCAGGCAAGGAAAGTCAAGCGGCGCAACGCGATAGGCGCGGAGAAGCATAACGCACCGACGCTGGAGACGCCCTTACCAGCGGCGAAGTCGACAACGCTTCAGGGTGGTGGCACGAGGGCGGAAGACAAACAGATCGACCACCTGTCTGCGGGCTGCGGGCCGAGCCAAACTCAAAGTCACCAGCGCAGCAGGCCGGAGGACAAGGAAAAGACAAGAGACACGCCAGCGTTGGACAAACACAAAACTAAATTGTGCAAGAGCTCGAACCTCACCAAGGCGAGAGCACACAACTTGGCCGAATCTAGCCACTGCGGCCACTGTCGGCTCTCACGGGCCACGGAGTACTGCACCGGCTTCACATTCTGTTTGATCCGAAAGACACGGAATTTGTTGTTGTAGTCGATCGAAAACCACCGGATGTAGGCGCACGGGAAGCCAAACCACTCGGTTACAGTCGGGTCCCACACGAGCCATCTAGTGAGCGCGATGTCCGCTTTGTTGTACAGCCTTGGACAGACCTTGCTGAATGTCCTCAACTCCGCTGCGTCGAGGAAGCAGGTAAATCGGTCCGTAGACTGGCGTTGAGCGTCCATGATGGCTTGTGGTGTCGGGATCATCTTGGACTTCCTCGAGCCCAGTGACCATGTTACAGCAACATGAAGAAATGATCGACGCCCCGCCGCGTCCCAACACTTGGGGACCCACGCGTCTCCCGAGGCTGTTGCAACTGCTGCGTCGCCGAGTTGAATGTCTCTATGGCGTCGGCATGCCACAACGTCGTGGCCTTCATTGGGGTCGGACCACGACCACGCTCGCCTTCTGGCGAGAATGGCACGGCAGGCGCGGCGATTGCCTCTGATGCTGTGCACTGGCTCGCTCCCATCATCGGTATCATGCGACAACACGGAGATCCACAGTGATCGTGCCGTCACCGAACGCTCGGCCCTCCAGCGTGGGTAGTTTCGGCAAACGATGGCGCAAAGAAGAAGGGGAAACGATATATGTCCCGCCATCAACTGTATGCATGTTGTGCGGGGGTTTGCGACCCCGCCGACACACGAGAAACGCTAGAAATCGCTCGAGCCAGGGCCTTCGAAGACGTTTCCCGTCATCCGCCAGCGAGGTCGATGCGCCCCGTACAAATTAATTTAAGAAGATTGAGCCCCAGAACCAAAGGTGTACGCAGGAGGCGCTTCCCGCCACCGTGCCTGCACGGAGTGGGCGTGTTTGCATACTCGTATGTAGTCAGGGAGTTGTTTGTGCTTCTAGGGCCGCCTCCCCTTTCCCGCCCACGCGTCGTTTGAAAACCACACTCCCCTGATATTGCTCTCAGGCGCTCTTGTCGGCCTCCAAACGGCGAACACGACGTCTAAGACTGCTTCCAAGACAGCCAAAATGACACCAAGACGATCCAAACTGGTCCAGGCCGGTTCAAAAGGCTCCCAGCGCGGCACGCCACACCAACAACGAGGGCGCGCTTACGCGCGATCTGACGCGGGGTAGTCTTGCACGCCAGGGCCGGCGAAGGCGAGCCCAGTGGCCCTTCGTCGTTGAGCTGGTGGCCCAGACGGGGCGCCGAAAACGGATAAAGCTAACTACGTCGCCCTCCTCCTCCCCCTCCTCCTCCTCCTCCTCCTCCTCCTCTCCTCCGTCCTCCTTCTTCCTGCATCCTCCTCCTCCTCCTCCTCTTCGCCCTCCTCCTCCTCCTCCTCTTCCTCCTCCTCGTCCTCATCCTCCTCCTCCTCTTCCTCCTCGTTTCCCTCCCTCTCCTCCTCCTCGTTTTCCTCCCCGCCCTCCTCCTCCTCCTCTTCCTCCTCCTCCTCCTCCTCCTCCTCCCCCTCCCTCTCCTCCTCCTCGAGGTAAACAATGTTTTTCGTTTTCGTTGTGCTTTCGTTGTCCTTCGTTCTGTCTTCGTTCTGCCTTTGCTGCGAAACGACATCTAAACGAAAACGGCCCACGAAGTCGCCAAAACACCGTTTAGGCCGACCCCTGGCTCCCCTTCCTCATCCTCCTCCCGTCGCCCTCCCGATGTCCACGACCCAACGCACCATCGCCAGGAAGCCAACAAACGTCAGCTGGCCCTGGCGGTTTTTGTCGGGGTGCTTCGCGACGATCGCCTCCAGCTCCTGCGTCTGGCGGAGGGAGGCGATCACGCCGAGGGACCTCGCCGCGCGAGCGGTGGGGCGCACAAGAATTTACTAGGACGATGTGCCCTCCTCGGAGGCATGCGTGCGACTCGAACAGATTGTGCAGCCAGCTTGTGGCATATCGTCTCCCGAACAGTACGGCCAGAACACGCCCGCCAGGGAGCACATGTAAGATTTCTAGAAAGCGTGCGCGTCACCTCGTTGGGCGACGCGCGCGCAGCAGTAGTATGCCTGTGTGGCGCAGGCGCGGGTGTGAGGAGACGGGGGGAGGCAGATGGAGCGAGCGAGCAGGTCCGGGCCTGGCAGGTACAAGGCCCGCACGGGCCAGCGCGGATGGGTCCAATACCTCACGACGCGTCGCCCTCGACCTGGAGCGGCGAACTATTTCGTCTGCGACGCATGCCATAGCTCAAATTGGTATCTCCGCACTGGCAGGATATACGTGACAAAGAAATCGGGGGGGTGGATGCAGCTTTCGACTTGCGACAGTCTCCGCGTCGCAGCACATGTACGCCGCATAGTCATAGGCATTCAGAGCTCTTCTGATCGATTCGAACTGCTTTAACTCCTCTGGCTTTTCCGACTGTTCTACTCTGAGAAATGTTCATAACTTTGCATGCGCCAGCTTGGCTGGGTCGGAACGGCACCGACGCTGGGCTCGGGATAAGCCGCGACACCACCAGTGAAGAAGGGGAGAGGATGTGGAGCAGGAGGGAGGGTGAGGAGAGAGAATGCCCCCTCTTGGACGTGCTCTTGGCGCATACTGGGAGCGTGTTGACAACGTCTTTCGGGCGGGCCCCATCTTTGGCCCCTCCTTGGGGCCTTCATTGGCGGCATCGTGTGCCGCCTTCGGAGTGTCTCGGGCCGGCTGGAGGCGCTCTTGGCCTGTGTGTGTGTGTGTGTGGGGGTTCTCCTGGGGACCTGTTGGACCGTGCGTGTTGGGCTGGTCTGGGGGCGCCCTTGGTTGTCCACGGGCCCTGTACAGTCAACCCGTATAATAAGGATGCGCGGTAAGGATGCGAAGGCCTTGGAGGGCCATGCTAACGTTTTGCGAGCGAGGCTGGCCAGCGAAAGTGGCCAAGGATGGGCCGAGGATGCAAGGATGCAAGGGTACCCTTGGAAAAATGGATCATCCTTACTATGCGGGTTGACTGTAGGTCGGGCTTGAGGCCGTCTTGCAGCCCTATTAGGGCGCAAGGGGCTGGGCTGGTGGACCTCTTGGGCTGACTTGGCGACCTAAGGACAATCCATGATTTCTGCGTCCAGAGGCCCACTTTTGGGTTCTCCTGCGGACTCTGTGGGGGGATTCTGGGGCCAGCTTGAGGCACTTCATGTGCTAAAGCAAACATGGCCGCGGGACACATCGGGAGCATCCCAATGGGACGCGTAGACTTAAGACCTGCCGCTCTTAGCAACGTGCTCGAAAACCCAAGCGGCACCGTAGTCGTTCTTCAACGCGCTTTGCAGGAGCTGCGTCTCATTCGCACTGAGGTATGTTGTGTTGAAAATGGTGTTGGCCCTTGTCATGCCGAACTCAGGCAAGCACTATCCATACCAAACGCCAAAATACATTATTGAGATCTTGAGTGAGAGTCTCGGGGCGAAACGAATGCACCTCGTGTGCGAGACCGCACTCGGGATCTTATTCAAAGAGTGGTGGTGAAAGCCTTGTTTTTAACCGACGTGCGCTATGGGCTTCTCCAACGCTCAACGGGCAGCGCTGCCGCACTCAATCTGCTGTTCCACCGACTTAGCACATTCGCCGACTTCTCGGCAGCATCAATCTACCTCCTGCTCTTGGATCTATTGCTGGGGCGATTCTCGCCCGTGTGGCAAATCTGCGTAGGCCCGCTTTAGTCGACGGCGACGGAACGACGAAAGACGACGGGTGTGCGCGTGCGTGTGTGAATGTATGTGTGTCCTGCGCATGGCCGCAGTGAACAAAGACGACTAAGACGAGCCGACGGATCGACTGACCGGCCGACCGAACACGACGACGACGCACTTCGGAAGCCTCATTGGAGGGGGCTGCCGACGACAACGGCGACGGCGACGACGGACGACGACGCGCTACGGATGGCCCTTTGGGGGGTGAAGGGAAGGGTGCTGCGCAGGTCCGCCGTAAGGAAATAGACGACGGCGACGACGACAACGCTGACGACTGTGACCACGGCAATCGGGCAACCAGAGAAAAGAACCAACACATCGCCTCGGATGCATGCGGCCCCTATTGCGATCTTGATGTCGCAAATAATCGTTTTGATGCTGCCGTGTAGGTGGGTGCACTCTCCCGTCTTCCGCACCTGCGATTAACTCGGCGTGTGTGGTATGGAAAGGAGAACGGTCCGAGCCCTGCGGGGTCTTTTTCGCGCGCCGTCGGAAGGGAAGGGGGTCGATTATTTGTAAAGCGCAAGCTGACATGACTTGTGGTTTCTTGGGGTCGGTTTGACATCGTGTGTGCCGCCCCGTGGGCCATTTCGGGGTCTTGTATGGGCCTTCTTGAGGCCGTTTCGGATGCGTGGATTGCACGGTTTTGCTGTGCAAATATAGAGAGACACGCGGTACAATTAGTAGGGGGACCCGTGCTAGAAAAAGACACGTTCTTTCTCCTTTTACGGAGCCGTGGGCGCGTCCGTCACCGGCGCGCCATGATAGCTCAAGCACCCTTCTGAGCCGATATGGCGGCGCGCAGAGGAGGTAAGCGAGAAGCGCAGGAGGAGGAGAGGCTGACAGGCGCTCTGCAACCACAGACAGAGCGCGTTCTGTGGTCGCTTGGAGGGGGGGGGTTGGAACCGGATCCCCCCCCCTGGATCGGGGGGGGGGTTCGACCCCCCCCCCTTCCCTCTCTTGCTTCCCCTCTCCTCGGGCCGGCGCTTGTGTCGGCGGCGGCTGGCGGCGGCGGCGGGGGCGACGATTTCCTTTTTCTGGGCCGGCGCCGGCGCTGGCGCCTGCGGCGGCGGGCGGCGACGGCGCGGAGCGTCGACGAAGACGACGGTGGTGGTGGTGGTGGTGGGTTGTGGTGGTGGTCGTGGCGGTGGTGGTGGTGGTGGTGGTGGTGGTGGTGGTGGTGGTGGTGTGGTGGTGGTTTGTAGTGGTGGTGGTGGTGGTTGTGGTGGGTGGTGGTGAAGAGTGGTGCTTTGGTGGTGGTGTGGTGGTGGTTTGTGGTGGTGGTGGGTTGTGGTGATGGTGGTTTGGTGGTGGTGTGGTGGTGGTTTGTGGTGGTCGTGGGTTCTGGTGGTGGCGGTGGTTTGTGGGGGTGGTGGTTGTGGTGGTGGTTGTGGTGGCGGTGGTGGTGGTGGTGTGGTGGTGGTGTGGTGGTTTGTGGTGGTGGTGGTGGTGGGTTGTGCTGCTGGTAGTGGTGGTGGTTGTGGCGGTGGTGGTGGTGGTGTGGTAGATTGTGGTGGTGGTGGTGGTGGTAGTGGCGGTGTGTTTCTGTGGTGGTGGTGGTGGTGGTGATGGTGAATTGTGATGGTGTTTGTGGTGGCTGTGGTGCTGGTTTGGTGGTGGTTTGTGGTGGTGGTTTGTGGTGGCGGTGGTGGTGGGTTGTGGTGGCGGCGGTGTTTTGTGGAGGTGGTGCTGCCGGTGGTGGTGATGGTGGCGGTGGTGGTGGTGATGTGGTGGTTTGTGGTGGTGGCGGTGGGTTGCGCTGCTGGTAGTGGTGGTGGTTGTGGCGGTGGTGGTGGTGCTGTGGTAGATTGTGGTTGTGGTGGTAGTGGTGGTGGGTTTTTGTGGTGGTGGTGGTGGTGGTGGTGGTGGTGGTGGTGGTGGTGGTGGTGGTGGTGGTGGTGGTTGTGATGGTGGTGGTGGTGGTGGTGGTGGTGTGTGGTGGTGGTGGTGGTGGTGTGGTGGTGGTGGTTGTGTGGTGGGTTGGTGGTGGTGGTGGTGGTGGTTGAGGCGGTGGTGGTGGTAGTGGTGGTGGTGGTAGTGGTAATCGTCTCTGCGTCCCCGCCGTCGCGGCGCCAGCGCCGGCGCTGCTGGCCGCGCTTGCGCCGGCGCCGGCGCCAGGGGGGGGGGGGGGTTCAAACCCCCCCCCCCCCCGGCGTGCTAGGGGGGGGGGGGGCAATCCCCCCCCTCCCCCCTCCCTTGGGCTGCCTCTGGTCATCGTCGCTGCGTCCCCGCCGTCGGCGCTGCTGGCGGCCGCCAGCGCCTGCGCCGGCGCCAGGGGGGGGAGGGGGGGGGGTTTGAACCCCCTCCCCTTTGGGAGGGGCGGGGGGGTTCGGGAGGCGGGGGGTTTTGGGGAGGAGGGGAGTCCCCCTGGTTTTGATCGACGGCGCCGAGTGTTGGAGGGTGGGCCCACCCCCGGTTCGAAACGCGCCGCCGAATGTTCCCAAGGCAAGCGCCCGTGAAACGCGTTCTCTCCAACCACAGGGTGCCCTCTTGGCTTGTCTGCGTGCCCTCTGAGGTGGGCCCCTCGCTATGGGCCATGTCGGGGCGAGCTTGGGCCCCTCTTGGGCTGTCTTGGAGCCTCTGACGACGGAGACGGCGAGTCCCGAAATCGAACGCAGGCAGCATGTGGGGAAATGCAATGACTTGTGTCTCTTCGGAGCCTCTCTGGGTCCTCTTCGGGCCCCCAGGGGTCGTCGAGGGAGCCCGTTGCCCTGTCTTTTGCGGCCATCCTGGGTCATCCTTGGCCCGTCTTGGCCGTTTCGAGGGTCGCCTCGGGGCATCTTGGCAAATCTTTGGGGCTCTCTTGGGCCGTCCCTGCGCGCCCGCGGCTTAGCCTGCCAGGTCGGGCCTCGAAACTGGGCGTGCCAATGTTCTGCGGGCGCGGGAACTGACTGCACTGTAGAGCGAGCACAACTGCACTCTCAATCACGGGCCACCGATTACACAACCGAGGGGGGCCACACCCCTGACTCTTCGAAAGATTCTACATGCCCGAGCTCATATGAATGCTTACGCCTAGCTCGTCTGGCTCATGTCCTCGAGCTCCCCCGCCCATGCGAACTGTCGACCGAACTGTCTCAACATGCAACCCTCGGGAGCGGCCAAGAGAGGGGTGTCCAAGAGGGGGGG